AGACATACCAGACACCAGATTAGAGAGCAGGAATTACTCTGTTCCTTCTCCCACCATGGCCTTTCATCCCATATCAGCCCAAACTGGGCTCTCCAGAGCTGCCATAGAGCCTGGAAGGAGATCCTAGCTAGCGGTCTTTGCATGCACTTAGTATAAATGTTTCCCACTAGTTAAATTATTTGTTCATAAATTGTAAATGGACTAAGCCTGGCAAAGATCTTTCATGTCTCTATAGCCACCTTATGTAAATTCACAAACAAATTGTATCAATTTACTTCTCACAAGACTTAAAAAGCAGAGGAAGAACCAATTTGGAAACATCCTGGCACTGTTGCCAGGAGCTTCCGACCATTTTCACTGCAAAAGCAGAAGTTGGGCCATTCTCTTGTTTTCTTGAAGCTCAAAACCAAAGCAACATGTAATGTAACTCTCCAAAGCCGGAGAGCCACCATCTACCTGCTGCCAGCAGTTTGGGCTGATTGCCATGTTCTTGGAACCCACCCAGGACAAAACCATGAATTTTTGTATTGAGACTTCTATAACAGGGTCAGGGACAAGTTCCTGCCTTGCTTTCACTCCTGACAGACTTAAAATGGTCAGCAGCAAGGAGCAGAAGAGCAGACAGGAGTCTGTTTCCTGGTGTGTATGTAATTCATATGCTGCACCAGGGCTTTAGCTGGGGAAGTTTCAATTTTGACTTTGTGGATCCGTCTCACCATGTCACTTCCCACTAAATATATTTAAAGAGAAGTCGAACAAAAGAATAAAATGTCAGGGAGATAATGGGTCTGATTCATGGTGGTGTTTCTCCAGATTTAGGTAATTCCTCTCAAAACTCCACTTCAGAAATGCAGAAAAACTGAACGCAGAGACCTGCAGTAGAAGCAGAACAGTTTCTGTGACTAGTGATGCAGGAACAATGACACAGCCCTTGAGGGAAAGGAAAGATGCAGGTGGAAAAGGAAGAAAGGAGATGGCCTCAATTTATCAATGACTAATTCAATGAACAGATTAGCAAAACAAGGAGGGCCCAGGGGTAAATAAATAATGCTTTGGTTGCTGCTTTGTGCTGCTGTTCCTGCTAGAGGAGCCAAGCTGCAGACACTGAGGGTCAGGCAGGGCTGCTGGGCTTGCAGCAAGGGGCACAGGTGGGTGTGTGGGATCGGGGGGCTGAAGAGGAGAGATGCCCTCGAGGAGGGATCAAAAATGCAGCTATTCAGCTAACTGGGACATTTCTCTAGCTCCTTCTATTTGAAGGTAAAAACGCATCTTTGAACAGTGAAGGGGCAGGAGGGATGGCACTGACACCTTCCCGAGGAAGAAAGGCACAATATAAAGCAAATTTTTTATCACTTCAAGAGAGGCAGAGAATTATCACACTCAAGGATCCCACTGAACCTGTGGGTATTTCCAAATGAGCTGAAGAAATATGGCCTAATTTCTCTCCATAGCCAGAGGGTTACTTGTCCTGACTTGGCAGCAGCAATGAAACAGCTGTGCACAGAGGTTTTTTTTTTTTTCTGTTTGTTCAAGTGTCCTTGATAAATCACATCTCTGTTGTATCTGGAGGGTTGTATAGTGACACCTCCAGGTACAGCCTGACCAAATGGTCACTCTCCAAATGAACCACAGGTCAGGGGGGTATTAGAGATGGTATAAAGCTGGCAGGATCCAGGCTAGCATCTCATGAGCCTTATAATAAATGTTTCTAAAAGGAGTTAGATGGAGGCTTTGTTCAACACTGCACCCAGTTTACCTGAAGAAGGAGCTGGGAGGGGACAGGAGCGATGGGAGATCCTGGAGGTTCCACATTTGACACTGGTCAGGGAGAACTCACGTGGACTCTTGTGCCAGTAGATGTATGGGGGAAAATATTCGGCTGTAAGAGCACCAAGCCAAATCAAAACACCAAGAGTGTGTTACCTGAACTGACTCTTCGAGAATGTCTTTGATAAGAGATTTGAAGTAAGGAAGCTGTTTCTTAAGAAGCTGAAGATAAGGAATTTAGCAAGAATATATTGTAAATAGAAAGCCGTAACCTGTTTGGAGTTAAGGATGTTAAGCACAATCCAAATAATAACACTGAAATTAAGGGAAGAAAAGTACAACCTCTGGGAGCTGCATGCATAAAATCTTTCCTTCATTTAAATAACATTTTTACCAAAGTTTATTTTTTAGCAGCAATGCTAAGAGGGAGGGAACATCACTTGCAACTTCTTCGCACTAAGAAAATTTCAGACTCAAAAGAAAATACCTGTAACTGAGAGAAAGAGGACTTACTTCAGTCTTCTTTACATCCATGGACATTTCTGAGTCTGATCCCAGTGACTTATAACACACTCAGTCCAGGATCTCTTTACAGTCTTCTGGAATTAACTCCATTAACAAGTCATGGAAATATTCCAGTCAGGCGAAGGATTAGGAAAAGATACACACTCTTGGTGTGAAAATGAGCAGCACATCTGAATGAGTTTACGAGGTCTCCTCCCTCTGCCCTGACACCGAAGGCTGCAGCCAGCAGCGGGCTCAGCCTGGCTGTCCCAGCTGGGTTAAGGGCTGTTTTGTTTTTTTTTTTTTTTTTTATAAGTGCTGAAGGAGACACTGGCTCAGCCTGTCATCTGCTGGGAGTCAGGCCAGCTGTAGAGAAGGCACCTGTAAGGGTTGGGATACACCCAGAGAGGCAGGTACAGCCCTTGGGAAGGAACTGGGCAGACCTGGGGGCCAACGTCCTCCATCGGAGCAGCCAGTTCTGCTGTGACTGCCCTGACACCATGCACAGTTAGCGGTCTAAGGAAACAGCGTGTGCTTGCAGTAGTGGTCTATTAAACCTCTCCGCTACTGCAAGGGGAAAGTTGAATACAAATACTGGTCATTCAATGCATTTTCCTGGTCCTGTGAACTGGTCACATCACAAGGAATTGCAATGAGTTTGCTTTCCACCGATCTACAGCAGTAACATGATTTCAAGTGCCAAACGCTGCCTGGGAGTTCGGAGAGTTTATTGTTGAGGAAATACGATCCTTGAGGTCCCTTCCAGCCTGGTATTCTATGACTGATTCTACAAAACAAGCATATACAGGGCTGGTTCATTAGGACTTATGAGCTGGAAAATGCTTTCAAAATGCACTGACTAGAAATATAGATTAGGAGAAGAAATACTTCGTAAAATGCCTCTTTGGATATTGCTGTCAATCAACCCAGAAGTACAAATACTTTTATGGTATGTTTGCTTCTGAAAGAGACTTGGAAAGTCGTTAATCTGCACATATTGGTATATTTTCTTCTGCAAGATGGTACTGCACAGAGATATCAATACAGGCTCCAAAGTAGGAACAACCCAGATTATCTTAAATACCGAAATGCACAATTGTGCATTGCCTGCAAAGGAAATAAGGATAACTTGGTATTGCATAACTATAGCCTCATTATCATCATGACTCACTTATTCTTTTTACTGCATAGCTTTTTCCAGTGTCAGACCTCCAGTTAACTCTAAATAAGAGGTTTACATTCCCCTTCTTGTAAATCAAACTCAGAACAATGAAAATTTTGCAAACTACATTTTACTGACCTTTTGTTGTTGCCTTCATGTTAGCCTGTCCCAGCCAAATCCTTGCTTGCCCTCTTGGACAAACAGTTAAACTCCTTCCACCAAAATTACACTCTGATTTTGCAGACCCCTTGTTTTTCACTATTCCATTAAAGAGTAGAAACAACAGCATAAGGCTTATCTAAACAGTGACCCCAAAACACGAGAAACTTGCAACCTCTGCACAGATAGTCTATGAACTGAAAAAGGACTCAGTTACTTGGCTAAAAGAAATATTTACTCAGCTCTAGGGAAAATACTCAGCCACAGATTTTTATCTAACAACTTCTCTGGTGACAGTTTAATATGGAATTTGGACTCAAAAGGGTAATTGAACTTCAACAAGTTTTTCCTACAAAGAACACTGAAAATTGCACTTTCTTCTGGCTGATGGATACTTTAATTGTTTATGGTATAATATTCTCTTAGCATGTAGGAGATTACTCATATTTTATGCATTTACAAACACAGGTCCAAACACATACACAGGTATTTTGTGTACTGCTGAAATGTTGCAAAGAAAAAATGCTCAGACTTTCGCATCTTGGGAAAGGTTTTAACCAGCTCCCAAATGTCACATGGCAGTTAAAATGGAACTATACTCATGTTTTTATTCAAATAACTACTCTAAAATTACAAAAGATAAGTACCACCTTTCAGCATGAATAAACTTGAATACATACTAAAAATAATTCTGCATTAACTCCTGAAGTTACTGCCTTCTGGAAGTGTAAATTGATAGAGTTTGCTATTAGATGCTTTACATAACCAGATGTCAAAAAATTCAATAGGATGAAAATTGCATATCCAAAAAATGAACCTTGAGCATTTTGAGAGGTAGTTTTACAATTTATTTAAAACAAAACAAACAAACAAAAAAACAACAAAAAAACAACACAAAAACAACTTAAGTCTTTTAGCTAAGCCCAAGATCTTTGACACAATTCACTTTTTCACTCTGAGCACATGGCATCAGAATTTTAGGGGGTGGACAAAGAGGTCTGAAACACAGTTTAGGGATTAGGGTATGATTCTCTCACCCCTACTTACAACAGTTTGTACTTAAGAGTATGAGTAGACCTGGTGAAATCAATGAGCTCAACTGCAGAGTAAGAAACAACTCAAAATAAGGAAGACAAGCAATGTCTGACCCACTATTGATAAATGAACTCCAGCAGTAAATTGTGGTTTGTGCTATAACCCAGTGCCCTCCCCCCGCCTTTTTTTTTTTTTTTTTTTTCATATCACACCAGATTTTTTAACCCAGACAACTGGATGTTAGATGGACTATTTTCTTGAGCATCTCTGGGTCAAGATGGCCCTGGCTGGTGATAAGGTGTAGTTCCTCATCCACCCCACACCCTCCTCCTCTTGCACCCTCTCTCACCCCTTACAGATGACTGTGGGAAGCCCAGAGCAGTGGGGCCAAGGGGGATCTGGTTATCGCCCCCCCATCCCAGTGCCCCAGAGTTACCTCCTGGACAAGGAGCTCTGTATTATTCCTTGGTGAGAACAGCACAGGACGTCACCATTTGGCTCTGCTGCCATGGAGGATGCTGAGGCTCCTGCAAGCTCAGAGAGGAGTTATTTATTACATATAACTTATTTCTTAGCAATAAAATTGTCTTGATACAATGTGTGGCAATGGGTAGAAGTACACCACTGTGAGAGGAAAAATACAGCAATATTTCAGAAATTGTTTGGGGGTTTCTTGAGGAAGGGCAGTGCTGGGTTGTGCTTCTTTCCCATAACTTGATTTAATCCTTAAATCAGGCATTATTTTCAGAAAGTACAGCTGCTGAGATTCACCAGTAGAATATTTGAAATTGTGAATAATAAAATATTTATCAACCAAAGTACAGCAGATTACAGCCTTTTATTCCTAGAAGAAACAGTTCAGACAGCTCCTTTCTATATGCAACGATGAGTCCTGTAAATCCAAGTAAAGCAATATCATAAGTAGGCAAAGCATAATACAAAATTAATTCACGAGTACTAAGTAAAGAGTTTAAGCATTATTGCAAAGGGTGACTTCTGATAGTTTAAAACATAGAAGGCTATATCTTACTGTAACAGAATACTTCAGTACTGATCATTTGGGCTGTATTGTTAAACACATGGTCTATAAATATCTTGAATTTCACTCTACCACTCCTGTACAAATCATCTTTGTAATTAAAGACACACATTTTTTAAAATAATGGTATATATTATTATACAATAGTTCTATTTTCCAACAATATAATGGTATCCAAATTTCAAGCTGATAAATGTGCAATAAGACTGTAATGTAACCCAAAGTTCCATTTTCAGGGAGGAAATTACATGCTGGACTAGCTCCCAGAGAGAGTTTGTAAATTAATTCGGGGTCCTTAAATCACTATGAGTGCAAGTTGGTTTTCCAGTGCATTACTAGGTTTGACATTAGGTAGTTTAGGGGAAAAACAATTCCCTGTAAAAATTATGGGAGTGGATAGTCCTTCCCTCAACTTCAGCCAGTTCCCCTAGCACCAAGGCAGGCATGGAGACTCCCTGTGTAACAAGGGAAGAGGTTCCTCACAGGTCTGCTGAGCTGTCCTCTTGAGGAGCCCTGTTTGCTTGTGGATGACAAGCTGTGATCAGCACCTTTGGTTGGGACTTGCAAATGCACAGCCTGATGGACACACTCAAGTCTTTATATGAGTGCTGTGATGCTTAATGGAGATAAGACTTTGAATATGTAAGGGCTGCAGAACAGATTTCCAAGGCAGGTCAGCAACAGTCAGGTTCTTTAAAAAGAAATTCTGACTAAAATTGTGACAGTGGAAACAGCTACATGTTGGGTCTTCTGCAGACTTGTCCCATCCCACACACTGTCTTGTAGTGTCCAACTCAACATTCACTGTTGATAGGACAAAACATCCTAATTTTTCATTACCAAGTGATCTGTTCTGTCTGTAACTTTACAGATCTCCTTGCTGTAAGTTTGATCTACTCTGATGACTTCACCCCTAAGGAAGTATAAGTGCTTGTCTGATTTGGGCATAAAATACCACACATTGAGAGTAGGAGGATTTTTGAAAGTCCACAGCTTACCCTTCTGTCTTCTGACACACATTAGAAATTTTCTCTTGACTGCAACGAGAGCAGAGTTAGACCAGCACAGGCTTCCTTTTACAGCCAGTCTCTGCAGTCACACATTTGCAAATCATTCTTAGCTGTGGATATTTATGCTGCAAACTTCTCTTCTTTTATCAATAAACACCTTCTAAATCCAAGCCTTTACGATGTAACAAACTTAAATTCAACAAGCAGATTTTAGGCGTTTGTTGAAGTGCCAAAAAATATTAATATGCAGTTAAGGACCTTTATCTTTGGGAGCAGTCATTTGCCATCATTTCCCTTCTCTCTACTTGCATGTTTTAGCAGTGCTGCATGATTTTATGTCTTACATAACATAGACTGGATAACTACCAAATGTCCCATATGTTGCAGGTCATTCCCACGTCTGTGGGTGCTTAATCTCTTGTTTCTCCATGAGCAGGCATCTCACCAAGTTTTGATGCACATAATATAGTGGGTAGAGGAAAAGGATTCCTTTTCAATAATAAAAAGGGAAAGGTGGAAAAAAAAAAAAAAAAAAGGAAGGGGAGGGAGGGAGAGAAATGTTTTGAACTAGCAGAACAAAACATTTTAAATGAGTTGATAAAAAAAAAAAATCAGTCCAAAAAAGTATCAAAATCTCACAAGATAGCAAAATTTTTCCAGCTCTGAATTTGAGAGGTGGATGCTGAGGGCAGGCTGGAATCAGAAGCAGAGGCAAGAAATTATACAAACAACTGTAGGGGAAGAGCGGGTATTTACATGAGACATGATAAGCAGTGCAGTGCCTGACAGACTGATTCCCAAGGAAACCACTGCAGGACCGTTTGTTAATGATTGACAATTCAGATCCGGAGGTGAAGAATTCCTGAGGTTCCGACAGTCTCGTGTTTGGGGGAAGGTAATGAGAGCATTTTGTGAGCAAAGTAGGTCATGGCTCAGCAGGAGAGGCACGTTGTCACATTAAAATACGAAGATGCATAGCTTCCAAGAGAGTTTCTTTTTTCCTGCAGTTATTTCCTTTAGCCAAATATAATTCGTATTTTAAGGAAAACAAGATGGTTGTAATTTATGGGTCACCCCATTGTTCTTGCAACGCCTTTGTGAAAGAGGAAAGTGATTGCACTGTCTCACTACAAAAGATGGTGATTTGACTAAGTAAGCTCAATTGTCTGAACAATATTCTGCAAATGAGTGTAAAAAATTGTGTCAGAGAACAAAGCGTGAGTCACACAGAATCACTCAATAAAAAACAGAAAGTCAACTTTCATAGGATTTGGATAATGTGGATATCTCCTGAAGTTACGTTTAGCTGCAGCAGCAGTCATAGTGGGAACAAGACACACAGAGCAATAAAAATATCCAGTCATTTCAAGAGTGGTAAGTGGAAAATTTCAGGTGACAAAAAACAAACCAAAACAAAACTCAGTTACATTCTATTTCTGATAGCTCACATAAACTCTACAAAGTGAGCCCAGAAATTATCCAGAGAGGTCTGAGGAACTGTGATGCTTTGCCCACTATCCCGGCAGGAACAGGAGACTAATGACAGAAATGATTGAGGCTACATTTTGACACTTGAGAGTACATAGAGTAGGTGTAGAAAAGATTACAGTTATGCACACAGATGGAAGAAGTAGATCACTGGAGAACAGAAGTGTGACAGTATTAAGACAGATAAAGTAATTTATTTTATAGGAAACGATTATACAGTTGAGAATCATGGGGCTTTTTTTTCCATCAGAGTGAAAAGGAGAGAATATCTGATTTTATTCCACAAGATCCACAAGATGTGTCATGTGCTTCTGATTGTGTCAGAGAGAAATAAAATGGTTTAGAGAGTGGGAGAACATTTGGATTTCTACCTGATTGACAATGTGCAAGTCAGGGAATTGGCCCATCATCAATGAGTTTCTAATTAATTTTGGCAGTAAATACCACCAACACTGCAGGAAAATAGTCATGTAACAGGTTCAGAATCAATACATTGTCCTATATTTAAAGAGTCACCATTGAAATTCATAATAATTTTACTAATTCTCTGTCCCAGGTTTCCCCCTGTAGAAGCTGGAACAAATTCTAGGTTTAGGAGTGTTTTTTTTATCAGTGTTTCTCAGGGTTCATTTAATCTAGTGACCAAATATACAAAAACTACCAACATGTTGACTGTCACCCACTGGGAGTTACCCAGACCTCAGCGAGAACTTCCTCCCAGATTTGGCAAAATATGGTGTTCTGCTCTGAATTACACGATTTCATATTGCTTTGCAGCAGTGGCTCCATGCACAGACCAGAAAATATTCTGCATTCAAGTACCAACACTTCTGTCTTTTGCACCAAATAAAGGCATCCATAAAGCAAGATTGATTTCCTGATGGTTTGTACTCTGACATACTGAGGCCAAATCCTCTCTTACAGCCAACTCAGGAGTTTCACATAAACTAAAAGATAAAATCTGAAATTCTCTTAGAAAAGGATGGAAGAAAAAAAAATATTTAAGGAGGAGAAGCAGTTTGAGATAGCTCAAAATTATTTCAAAAATTAATTGACTTTGAAGTAATTGGCAATGCTATTTAGGCATCAGGTAAGCAATTATTTATTTTATAAACTAAGGGCTCTAATGGATGTTAAAAGTGGAGAGAAGAATACTTGTATAAAATATGTTTTTTCCTGCTAATCTTCCATAACATTATCTCTAAAACACATGCAGAGAGTAAAAAGGTATCAGAGCCTCTCAAAGTCTTTTGTATATTTTTCCTCCGCACATTAGAGATAGAGACATTAAGAGTTGAACGAATCATCAAAAGAAATGTATGTGCTTAAATTCTCTTTGTTTCAGTAGCCTACATATTTTCTGAGGATCCAAGTCCAGAGACACCAGATGGTCGTTTTTTCTCAGATATTTAGGCACCTACACATGCAAATAGGTGCCCAGTGGTATTTTCAAGCATGTCCAAATGCTTTGCTCTCTAAATAACCATTAAAAATACTGATGCAACATTTTCATCCTACAATATTTTTCTAAAATATCAGAGGGAAAAATACTTCTATAGAAATATGTCAGTAATTGAAAAGACGTGCAACTCCAGGCTAAGGAGTGGGTGCCACGTAGATCTGCGATATCACAGCCAAATGCAATACTAGACAAGGCAAAGGAATGACAGCAGCTCTAGGAATAACCTGGCACTGGAAGAGTTAAAAACTCCAGTTAAAGCTAGAGAAAAGAAGACAGGCAAATTTCTTTATATCACAACCATTTCGTTATCACTGGCTGTGCACACAAGGCATCTGCACTCCTGAAGTTCAACAGCCAAACGTCTTCAGCCCTCCCTGCTCTCCAGGATTCCCCAAAACAGGTGGGGACATATAAAATACACTTAGGAAAGCTGCTTTTAAGAAATTCAGATGAAATTTACCCTATAAACATTCAGCAAAGTGTCTCGAACCACAAAAAGAGAAGACTGAGGCAGATCAGAGTGGAGAA